GTGCTGCCCTCTCTCACCCTGCTCCCCATTATCTGTAGTCACTCATCTCATTTTGGCAACTACTCTCCCAAGCCCCCAGTCTAATGGAACTCCACTGTCTACACCACACATTTCATCGTGCCATGGGCTAACTATATGCCAAGTCACTGTCTCCACACTGCTAAGTGTATTTAGTGCAGAAGGGGGAGAGAGAGAGAGCACTCATACTCATTCACCCCCCAGATACTGACTCAGTGCTAGTTGTGAAGCCAGGACAGAGATGGCAACCCCAGTCTCCCACGCGGACGGTGGACTTAACCCCATGAGCCATCAACTGCTGTCGTCCAGGGTCTGCCTTAGCAGGAAGCTGGAGTCGGCAAAGTCGGATGCTGAACCCAAGGACTCTTACGTGAGACGTGTGTGCCTCTCTTTACCATTTTGTGAATTTGAAAGATAGAATGGCAGAGGTCAAAGTGGTCACAACAGCTGGGACTGGTGCAGTCCAAAGCCAGGAACCTAAAGCTCCATCCGAGTTTTCCAAATGGATACAGAGACCTGACACTTGGGCCATCTTCCACTGCTTTCCCAGGAACATTAGCACGGAGCTGGATTGGAAGTACAGCAGCCAGGACTTCGACTGGTGCTCACATGCCATGCTGGCGCCAGAGACAGGGGTTTAACCTGATAAGCCACAACACGAGTCACTAAATGTAATTTTAAATTCCATTTTCCCCTCAAGCCTTTAGAAGCACAATTCATGAATGTCCTTATTGTTTCTTCCCAACCAGAGTGAGAAAGGAGGGGGCAGCCATACCTGTCCTGTTCTACTGGGCAGACCCTGCACCTAGGGCAAGGCTACCCAGGGTAGTGCTTGGGGAGATTGGACCATACCTGCTCTGTGTCCCCCTGGTCTGCTTGCTGGGCAGGTGCAATAGGACCCGATGCAGTAGCCTAGTGGCTGGAGTCCTCGCCTTGCATGAGCCAGGATCCCATTTGGGTGCCAGTTTAATCCCAGTGGCCCTGCTTCCCACCCAGCTCCCTGCTTCTGGCCTGGGAAAGCAGTCAAGGATAGCCCAAAGCCTTGGGACCCTGTACCCACGTGGGAGACATGGAAAAAGTTCCTGGCTCCTGGCTTTGGATTGGCTAATTTCCGGCCATTGCTGTCACTTGGGGAGTGAATCATGAGACGGAAGAGCTTCCTCTCTGTCTCTCCTCCTCTCTGTATATCTGTCTTTCCAGTAAGGACAAAGAAAAAAGGCCAAAGCCCTGGCCTCTGCCTTCTGTTGGAACAGGAGGCAGCCACAGGTGGGGCCTGGCTCTGTTTTGGCTGAGTCCTGAGCTCCTCTTCCTGCCCCAGAGGCCTGAGAGAAGTAGAATGGGCATGGCTAGAGAGCTGCCCCTGGGGAACAAAGCTGCCTCACAGTCCCTCCCCATACTGGTAGCTCCTTCCGTCCTGCTTAGGGTTTGGGTCCCCCCTGCTTGGTCCTCCACTCAGTTCCTGGACCCCAACACCCCCCACCCTCCCAGGGGGCAGGGGCTCAGGGTCCCAGGTGCCAGGAGGGCAGGTGGAGGTCCTAGAAGGAGTCCCAGGGAGCCCCGGGGTGGAGCTGTGGGAGGACATGGAGGGTTCCTTTGCTCCCTTGTGACTACAGGTGCAGAACGCCGCCTGCTGGCAGCTGCTGCCTCCACAGCCCATCGGAATGGGAAAAATGGCGTACCCAGGGGGGAGAGGGGACTCCAAACGACTCATGGGAACTGAAAGGAAAGGTGAGTTCATTCAGGAGCAAAACTTCCTGTTGAAGACCCAGGTGTGTTTTTTTTGTACCGCCCATTTTTCCTGAACTGTGTGTGAAGACTGCACATCTGTCATGTAAGTCGTTTGGAGTTTCCTTTCAAAACTTTCTTCTCTGCCAGCAAGAGTCTGCCACGCCTGCCCGCTACGTGCTCCTTTTTTTTTTTTTCTAAACTGGAAAAGCGGAGTTATAGAGAGAAAAGGAAAGAGAGAGAGAGATAAGATGAGTGTGTGTGTGTGTGTGAGAAAGAGAGAGAATGTTCTATCTGCTGGGTCGCTGCCCACATGGCTGCAACAGCCAGAGCTGGACTGGTCTGAAGCCAGGAGCTTCTTTTGGATCTGTCATATGCGTGCAGGGGCCTAAGCACTTGGACCACTCTCTGCTGCTTTCCCAGGTGCGTTAGCAGGAAGTGGAACTGATGCCCCATGAGATGCTGGTGCTGCAGACAGAGGTTTAGTGTGGTGTGTCATGGCACCAGCCCCATGTTTTTCCTTTAAATCCTTTAAATGTTACACACAGTCCCTGCTGGTGGTCCCCTGCCCAGGGCATGTCTGAACCTGGCACCGCAACCTTCTCCTAGTCCTGTGTCGGGAGACTTCCTGCACACTGTCAGGTGGTAGATGGAAAAGGGGCTCATTTTTATTCTCAGGCTGCTCTTGTTTGGGGCCCCGGATGTCCTCAGCATGTGAATGTTGCAGTGCAAGGCTGAGATAGACTGTGAAGAGCAAGGGCCTCAAAGATGAGCAGGACATCACGGTGTCCACCTGGCAGTAACCTCCGCCCCACCTCCGCCAGGTTACCAGGACCAGCGTAGCAGATCATCCTGTGTGTGCTGTCTGCTCTGCCTCCCTCTCCAGCCCTCAGGTTCTCTTCTCTGGGGAAGAGAACCCGTGACCCTGGCAATCAAGCTGAGGAGTTTAGGAAAACAGATAAGCTCACAGCTCAGCTGGGCTGCAGTGTGTGTGTGTGTGTGTGTGTGTGTGTGTGTGTGTGTGTGTGTGTGTGTGTGTGAGCATTTTCCTTCCTTTTGCCTTCAGCTCCTAATTAGCACAGATCCAAAGAACCTCCATTCCAGCTTTGCTCTTAGTCTCCAGTGCTTGGCTGCTCCGAGACCAGATCTGGTGCAGCTGCCTGTGAGCTGGGCCCCTCCCCACACTCTCTCTGCGCTCAGGTTGGCCTGGGTGGGCTGGACATGGCAGGAGGGCGGGAGTGGGGGCACCGAGCAGCTCTCCCTCCAGGCCTCCCTTCTGTGTCTCCTTTCTCCGCACCTGCTTTCTCTGCCTGTAATTTCCTTTCATTAACAATCTCGGGTTGTCCAGGGTGCCAGTCCCTGCTGGTGGGAGTGTAAATTGGTACGATTTCTCTGGAGGGCAATTTGTCAAATGCTATTAAAAGCTTAAAAGAAAAAAAAAAGCACAAAGGTACACATAGGCTCTGACCTGGAAAGTTCTCTTCTAGGAACTTGCCCTTCAGGAATCATTGGATGGGGGTCCATGGCCATGGGCAAGTGGATGTGGCCCCTGGGGCTATTCGTGAGTAATCCCTACCGGTTGCCCATCGAAAGGGGATCATGAACCACAGTCACTGAGCGAGCCAGTCAGAGATGCAGTCCCAGGAGTAACCCAAAGAATGTGAGTGTGGACTGAACGTGACTCCTACGGAGCCACCGTTAATTGTGTCAGCTGCAGCCACGCCTTCGGGACTGGCTTAGAGCCGGGACAAGCGGGCTAGAATGTGCTGCAAATTAGTCTGTTGCCAGCCATCAAAGAAGAGGTGATCTGATGTAGCAAAAGTGCCCCCCACCCCCGGTTGTGGAGCCATGAATGGCTTTGGGATTGCTCTCTGTTAACTATTTGTTAAGTATCTGTGGTTTAAAAGGAATTAAATCACCTCATCAGACAATACTTTTAAAAACATTTATTTTCATTGGAAAGGCAGATTTATAGAGAGGAGAGACAAAGAACATCCATCCACTAGTTCATTCCTCAAGTGGCTGCAACGGCTGGAGCTGAACCACTCTGAGACCAGGAGCCAGGAGCTTCTTCCAGGTCTCCCATGTGGGTACAGGGCCCAGGGTATCAGGCTACCCTCCTCTGCTGCCCTCCCAGTCCACATGCGGTGAGCTAGATAGGAAGTGGAGCTGCTGGGCCACAAACCATCACCCATATGGGATCCTGGTGCTTGAAGAGAGAGAGGATTTAGCCATTGTACCATCATGTTGGGACCCCAGACAATTTTTTTTCTTGACCTGGAGTCGTGTTCATGAGATATGGTGAAGTGAAAAGACAGAAGGTACAAATGGGATATGGGGAGGGGATTAAAAATATCTATACATTTTTCCATTTACATTGGAATAAGGAAGGAAATACATGCATCAAATACATACACCATGTCTGGGTGTTCAGATTTGATTAGTTTCCATCTTTTTTATGCTGATTTATTTGAAAGGCAGAGGGGAAGAGAGCATGAGGCTCCACCTGCTGTTCACTCTGAAAATGGCTGTAACAGCCTGTGGTGGGCCAGGCCAAAGCCAGGAGCCTGCAGTTCCATCTCGGTCTCCCACATGGGGGCAGGAGCCCAAGCACTTGGGCTGTCTTGCACTGCTTTTGCGGGCGCATCAACAGGGACATGGATAGGAAGCGGAGCAGCTGGTACTCATATGAGATGCCTGCCTTGCAGACAGTAACTTAATCTGCCATGCCACAATGCTGGTTGCTGATATTACATATCTTAACCCCCACGTGGAAGCTGGTAAGTTTGGTGGTGTGACTGCCACTTGATAAATGGAGAAGCTGAAAGTCAGAGGGGGTGAGCGCCTTGCCTAAAGACAGAACTTTTGCTCTGGCATCCTTGTTGACTGTGGATGGTCACGTGGCTGTCCCTTACCCCCTTACTGTCCTCACTGTCGGGGTTTGTCATTCACAGGACAGCCCTGACTCAGTGGCCCCTGAACCACTGTATGTCCTCATGGTGCCAAATCCCATCACGCTGTCCAATCCCTCTTCCCTGCCAGGATTTCCTAGCAGGGTACCCCCTCGGTCCAAGCATGCTTTGTCACAAAAAAACCTCCAAGGGGCCAAGGTCAAGATTGCTCAGCTCTCTGGTCTGAGGCAGGGCAGGTGAGGGATGAGGGAGGTGAGAAATACGGTCTTCCTTCCTCTCTTTGGGGCCCATGGGACAGGAGGTCTGGGACTGAGCTACATGCTCCCCTTGCCAGCCTGTTCCATTGGCAGCAGCATCCTGCACAGGGGCCCAGGGGCTGCAGGAAGTCCTGAGCCCTGGTGGGGGGTGGGGATGGTGGCGAGAGGGCCTTGGGTATCAGATGTAAAAGGCAGGCAGGCAGCTTTGCAGGGCTTTAATTGGGACAGAGAAATGATGACATTGTTTTAGGAAGACCAATCTGGTAGTGGAGACTGCATGGCAAAGAGTCCAGCTCAGTGCAAACAAGGCAGGTTGTGCTGGGTTCCTGACAGCCAAAAGGAGAGGTTGGATCCTTCCCCAGCAGCCACCAGGCCTGAGCAGCAGAGGGCACTGTGTAGTCGGGGACAGCAGCCACCTCCAGGGACCTCTAGGAAGGCAGAAGGCAACAAAACCCTGTCCAGAAGTTAAGGACCGGCCCTGGCTGCAGCTCAGGCACTCCAAGTCCAGCCTCGCACTGCGGCAGATCTTAAGGGTTTGGCATTCCCCGCAGAAGCGCCTTTGGGGAGCCCTCGTGCACCTAGCCCACCACAGAGCCAGCCACCACACAGGGAAGCCACCTGGTTCCAAGTGGGGCTCTTGGGATTGCTGCATAACAGGCAGCGTCACAGCAGCCCAAGGGCAACACAGAACCGGCCCAGCCAAGGAGAGGAGCCGCTGCTTCCTGTGGGTTGTGCTTGCTTTTATTGACAGCTGTCAGGATGCTCTGTGAATGCAGGAGGGGATTCCGGCTTCTTGCACCTTCTGAGGAGCCAGAGCCCCCTTGGCGGGGTTCAGGACGGCACTACACCGCAGGGTCTCACACCAGCGTCCGGAAAACTTCCACCTTCTCCCGGTACAGGCGGTGGAACTGCTGGGCCAGGCAGTGGAAAGGGGCATCATAGTTCTCCATCTCCTTCTGCATGATGATGAGAAAAGTATAATTGCTTTAAGCATCATTGGGGAAGCAGCAGGTGAGGCTCAAGCGTTTGGGTCTGTCACCTGTAAGGGCAACCTGAATGGAGCCTCTGGGTTCTGCTTTCAGTCTGATCTAGACCCGGTACAGAGGGTGGAAGAGTTCTCTGCTTCTCAAAGGAATCAACCCATCGTTTTACAGGATTTGTTTATTTATTTGAGAGGCAGAATGACAGAGAGCTTCCATCTGCTGGTTCACATCACCCCTGCCCTCCAAAGAGCTACAGTTGCCAGGATGAGCCAGGTACAAACTAGAAACCAGGAACTCCAACTGGGTCTCCCGCATGGGTGGCGGGGGGTCAAGCACTTAAGCCACCATCTGCTGCCTTTCTGGGTGCGTTGGCAGGGGGCCGAGCCAGAAGTGGAACAGCCAGGACATGAATTGGCACTCTTATAAGGAAGCAGTGGCTTAATTTGCATTGCCACAACATTAGCCTCCATAGAAGAACCTGGGGAGTGGGGAAGGCAAATGCAGGTGTCAGGAGTATGACCTAGTGGTTGCACCCCTAGTTGACACCTGTAACCCTGACATTACCGGGGTGAAGGAGCAGGTGTTTCCTCAGTCTCTCTACCTTTCAAATAAAATGAAAAAACAAAAAACAAAAAATCAGAAAGCACACACTCCCTGGGCCAGCTTGAGAGAGGCTCTACTGGGGCCTGGAGGGGGACTCCTGTCCTGACCACTGGAGAGGGGCAGCACCAGCCTGACTATGGCAGAACACCCCCACCCCCAGGTGGTGCAGCCCACCTGCCCCTCCCCTTTCTCTCCAGGCCGCCAGAGAAGGCGTGCTTTCAAATCCAGCTTGAAAAAATTTGTCCCCTAGGGCTGGATGGCTTATCCAAACAAGTTATGAGCTTTCTGTGACTGCGAGGGATGTAAGGACTTCCTCTTGTCTGAGAGAGACCAGAAGTGAATGAACTTGCCCCACCTGTGCATGTGCAGGGCAAGGCCTGCACCCAGACACCTCAGCCACTGCAGGCAATGTTTGTGGGAGGACACCAGGCTCCCGGCGCAAAATACAGTCCCCTGGACTTGCCAGCTAGGGAATCCCAAGACTTGGGAAATGGCCGGCCAGGAAAAGCACACGGGCTGGGCTCATGACTGCCATGGACCCACAGACTTGGGTTCTGCAGTGGGATGTCACTGGGGGCCACACAGCCGCTAGGGCCTAGGCGGCACTGACGTCAGGTGGTGGGAGGGCTGCTCCATGGGAAGGGTAGCCATTACCAACTGGGAAACAAACAAGGCTTCCGCAGCATGCATGCCTGGATTTCCAATTGGATTCAGAGGCTCCCCAAAGACTCAACAAAATCGGAAGTTCAAGGGCTGATACTGCAGTGTCGCAAGTTAAATCTCCATGTGTAGCAGCACCATCCCAGATGGGTACTGGTTGGAGTCCTGGCTGGTCCACTTCCAATCCAGCTCCCTGCTGCTACGCCTGGGAAAGCAGCAGAGGATGGCTCAATCGCCTGGGCCCCTGCACGCATGTGGGAGACTTGGAAGAAGCTCCTGGCTTTGGATCAGCCTAGCTCCATGGCAGCCATTTGGGGAGTGAAACAGCAGGTGGAAGATCGCTGTTTCCCTTTCAAACAGTGTTTTCTTTTTTTTTTAAAGTAAGGAATGCAATGCCTGGGAGCTTCAACAGACGCCCCAGAGTGTGCCTGGAAGATGGAAACAGCTCTTCCTGCAGTGTTCATGAGGTTGTCAACGGCAGGAGCTTTGGGATGCCGAGCATCGTCCGCCGGCCCCAGGTCCGAGGTCCCTGGCTGGACAGGCTTCGGTCGGCTCCTGCTTCTGTGTCTACTTGTGCAACTAGGGACTAGCGATGCTTTCCTCAGTCACTTTGTGATCTGACCCCGCAGTGGCTGCCCGGCATCCACTTGGCCCTCAACCAGTGCCAGTCTCCTCCCAGCTGCCTGGGAGGGCAGTCGCTTCCCAATCTTGTCCAACTCCCCAAGGTGGTGAGCAATGTTGTTGTAAATGTGTGTTTAAAGAAATGCGTGTTTTTTTTTTCTTTTTGTGCAGGGGGGTGGAGGTATTGTCTTGATCTGAGCATTTCAAGAGATCGAGGGGGTGTTGGGAAGGGAAAAGACTCGCCAGGGTGCTGAGGCCACAGCTGCTGGAGGGAGGGAGGAGAGGGGGGTGCCAGGCATAATGCCAGACCTTGGCTGCGGCTCAGACGGCACTGGGTTCTGTTTCGTTTTTAATCACAGTTTTCTTCAGCCAGCTGCCAGGGGTGCTGCTGTTAGACCAACCCAGCGGGTGGGGGTGGGGCAAGTCAGCCAGCTCGGTGAACGCAGGGACTGCATGCAAACCTCCTCCAGCACCGCTTCCCCCCAACTACTCTGACCACTGGGCGCCTTCGCCACGCAGCCTGCCAGTTTGGGGCAGTTCCTATGCTAGGCTGGGTTTTAAACAGCTGAGTTCTGTCCAGAGTTCCAGGAAACCCTGGCCCCGAGCCAGGGGTGGGGAGTCAGGGAACAAGTTCACAAACGGGTGGGGACACGGAGACCTCCTCAGGGTCTTTGGCTCTGAGGGGTGCTACGGAAAAGAACCCTTCTCTGTGGGAAAAGCTCTTGAATTTAAACTTGGTTCATTCAGCATCTGTGATAATTGGACCACTGGCCAGGGGGACATTTATCTCTGTGGCAGCCATGAATGCAAGGATTCAGTAAATACTGGTATGAATGAGATCACTAGGGGGAACATTCAGGCTTCCTAAAATGCTCCCATGCAGCAGGGTCTCTGCCCAGTGTTCAGTGTCACTGTCGTCTGTCTTGGTCTCACATTTACTATCAAGGAGGGCTCTGTTTTATCACCCTCACTTTGCAGGGCACAGGGCTGAGGAGGGAGAGGCTGAGGGCCACACCCCGGGTCCCCCAGTGGGCTCTCTACCAGCCACAGGAGGACAGTGCATGATCATGGCATCTGCATAGGTGTGGATGCTGGGCATCTGTGCCAACAGCTATGGTACAGTTTGAGCAGAAGATGACCTCTGGGATATGGGGGACCAAAGAGGCAGGTGTGACAGCCCTGAATCCCCTGGTTCTGCTGAGATGGTCATTTCTAGGCTGTACCTGCGGAGCCGACTTGGTGCAGAGTGTGGTCACCTGGCTGCACCTGGCCCTGGGGAGGCCGGGACTGCCATGCTCACACACACACAGGTTGGGGGGTGCCCTGATCTACTGTGTTCAAGGTGCCACTCCAGGTGGGGGGAGGGGAGACATGTGGTAGCCTGGAGTCCCCCTGAGGGCTACAGCCAAGCAGGGATGAGAAGTCGGAGACCCTAGCCCTGCCTCTGCCTGTCACTGTCACCCTGCCCCCATGCAGGTGTTTTAGTTCTTCAACACTGGGGCCTGTGGGACTGACTCCTGGTTCATGGCATTTGACTGTGAGGACCGACCAGACCCAGGCTCCACGACACCACCACAACTCACACAGGATCCCGTGCAAGCCACGGGGGGCGGGGGGGTGCTCCTGGAACATGAGAGGCTCATGATTGAGGAATGGTTCCTCCCAGGGCTGCCTGGCTCATGTGCCTGCTGCAATGCATGAGCAACCCTGGCTATATGGAGCCAAGATCTGAGCTAAGGATGCCAACGGCAGTCCTGGATTAGTGTCTGCGGCTGTGGTGGCAGAAGCACTGGGTGCCCATGAGGTTACAAGGAGGCTGGCTCCAGCCTCCGTGACAGCATGAGCAAGCAAGCGGCATACTTACCACTGACGTTTCCAAACATTCTAGGCCTTGGCTCAGCGCCCACTCTTGGGCCTGGGCCGAATCCACTGCTCGTCTGCTGGCCAGGTCCGTCTTATTCCCCACCAAAACACCTGCTCCAAGAAACATCCAGAACATAAGGCTTTTAGCTGGGGCAGACTGGAGGGGACAGTGACAGCTGGTAAAGTCAGAGTAGTGTCGCAAATTTCTGAGGAATGAGAAACATCTTATGAGAGGCTCCCTGGCTTGAGGGGCGGGGATCTCTCGTGCTGTCCCCCAGGTGGGGGACGGTCACAGACAGTGTAGATGGGTTTTGTTTCAACATGGTCTTTTTTTTTCTTTAAATCTCTGGCTGTCACTTGCACCTGTGTCCCCTGCCTCCATAAGGTGGCTAAGTGTGCGTGAGCGTTAGTGACAATTTCTGGCTCGTGGAATAAACTGTAACATGGTCATTAATGCTAATCTGAGCCCCAGGCCTCGAGACAGGGACCTGCAGGTGACGGAGCTCAGTTCCAGGCTCGCATTGGCCACAGTTAATTTCTGAGTCTGTCCCTGGAAGATGCGCTCCCTGGTTTCTGACAAGGAGAATTTGTTGATTTCACACAGGGATGAGGAAAAGCACAATGGATTGAAAGCTTCCAAAGGTGACAAATGTGACTGCTGAGCATACCCCACATGCTGGGGGTGATGGGGAGGTCCTCCCTGGCTGGCCTTCTTCCTTGAGTCCCCCAGTGACCCCACTGGGTGGGCGTCACCCCATTTTGCAGGTATGGGGATGTGTGGCATCCTACAGGGATGTCGGGTGACTGCTAAGGGCTAAGCCCCTGTACCAGCAAGGCCATCAGAGGCCATAGCCCAAATGCCCAGGTTGGCACCTGCAGACACCCTGGCAGTGTGCCCCCGTGCCCTGCAGCTGAGGGACAGTGGCTGCTGGGTCCTACCTGGAAGGGAGCCGCCCGGAGCCTGCGCACGTGCCTTCTCCAGCCACCGGCTGCAGCTGTGGAAGGACTGCTCGTTGGTTACGTCATAGACCAGGCAGAGAACGTTGGGGCTCTCCCACTGTGGGAGACAATGTTGGGGGGCACTGATTAGTCACACACAGGGGACACTGAGGCTGGGGAGAGAACCGGGCCCTCCCAGGGAAGGGGTGTGGGGTGGGAGGGCCCCCAGAGAGCTCTAAAGGGGATGCAAGTGGGAAACAGCTACAGGCCTGGGCTGTGTGCCCCCATGCCTCCTGTACAACATGTCTCCTTTGCAGGGGCTGGCACTGCACAGTCCCCGTGTGGAGCCAAGGCGCCTGAGCTCCTAGGTGAGCGCCTGGCTGCCACAGCTACCGCATGCACCTGCCGCTTGGGAGAGCTATTCCTCTCCTGCTCTGTAAGTTTGTTTATCCTTTTTCTCTCCTTGCTGGGAGCCTAGGAGCTGGCTTTTCAAAATCACAGAGGATACTCTATGCTCCTCTTGCAGTGTTGGCATCAGCCCTACTCTATGCCACGCCAGTACACTCTATGCCATCCCTAGCGGCCAGGCCTGCGCTCGCAGGGGGCTGATGGCTTCAAGCGTCCTGCCACATGCTGGTGTCCCCTGCACAAGTACAGCCTGGTTTACTGTAGTTTACTGTGCATTGAGACCCAACCACACTGCAAGGCATGAGGGAGGACGCTTTTCTGTTTCTCCAGTGGTCTTGTCAAGGCTAGCCCACAACAGTCTGGAGATACTGCCCCCTTCCCATCGGCCCCAACCTCAGGGCCATGTCAGCTTCTGTGAGCCCTTCAGGCCTCCACACCACAGGATTTGGCGAACTCTTCCCCAGAACAAACTGACTTCCCCCTACATGCATGCAGGGGGTACCTCAGCGAGCTTACAACTCAGGAGTCCTTCAATTCTGGGCCAGGCCCAGCAGAGCCCGCATGGGACTGGGGTCAAGCAGCAGGCAGAGTAGGAGGGTCCAGAGTTGGGGTCAGCAGGAGTGGGGAAGTGGGTGGGAGGGTAACATGTGATCCTAACTCGCTCACACACTCCTTGCCTTCCACAGGGCTGGGTGGCAGCCAGTGCCACACCATGCACCTGATAGTTTGGTTTAGGAGACCTCAATGAGTCGGAAAATCAAGCATCACCACCACCATCAACAGACGCCTCCTCTCGGGCAACAAAAAGCAGCAGTAAAGTTCCCATGAAAACGCCACCCTCTTGGAGAGGCAGGGCAGGGCTCTGCAGCGCTCCAGTTGGCTCATCAGCTCACTGACCCAGATCTGCAAAGCAGCCACATGGCAAGGTGCACTGAGCTGCAGGCGGGTGTGACGAGCTGGGGTAGCAGCAGGGGCCTCGCCTGGAGCAGCCCCAGGGGAGCTCACCCCCACTCAACCTGGGAAGCCCTGGTGCCAGCTCCTCACCGCCCTCCGCCAAGGTTGAAGCCTCATCTCAGAGCCCCCTAGGCAGGTCCCAAGAGAGGACACAGTGGTATCTGCCCAGGAGGCTGGAAGGATGGAGCACATGGCTTGCAGTGTGGGGTCCCGGTTTGAGAGCGCCCCCTTCAGGAATTTCGCCCCAGTGGCGTCAGTATACAAGCAGTGGGAGGTGGAGGAAGTGGCGGTCAGGAGTGAGGGCTGGGCTACTTGCCAGCTTGTCCAGCATGTCAGAAAACAGCTCCTTGCCGGCAGAGTCGAAAATGAAGAGTTCCTGGAACAAGAAAGATACATGTTGGTGCTTGACAGTATCCGCAATGTGCAGTGGCCCTGGAGCAGGTCAGGGGCGATCCGCTGGTCTTGGTAGAGAAACAATACAAACCACAGGCTCAAGTGCCTCCAGGCGCTAGGAAGGTAAAGGGCGGAGGAACGAGCCCGCCATCCCCCAAGTGCGACTTGGGCCTCCTCCTCCGGCCTCATCCTTGGGTACAGAATCACCAGCGACCAGCTGAGCATCCATAGGCCGGCAGAGAAGGTTAAGCACACTGCCCAAAAGGTCACGAGCACTTTGTCCATCAAATCGAGTTTCAAATCCTAGAACAATGCTGGACCTAAAGGAGGTCACGAAGGTGGCCTGGGGAAGTTGCACAAAGTGGGCCAGGCTGTGATGCTTCTGGGCTGGCCACAGTGTGATGTGGATGGAGAACTAGGTGACCTTTCCTGACCAGTTCTCCACTTCGCCCAGCCTGGGACAGGACGGCCCTCACCAGTTACCGCTGCTCTGGAAGCCCTGCTTCCCCTAAGCCCTCCCTCTGGGACAAAAGTCACCCACAGGCTCTGACCCCAGCACGGGAACCTGAACAACCATCCTAGCTTCTCTCACCACATCAGGTCTTCTTGGGACTTCTTTTTTGATCATGAATTTTTAAAATTAAATATATAATATGTAATATATAATTATATATATATACATCATTTTTTTTACTTCTTTGAAAGATAGAATCAGAGAGACATGAGACAGACATTTTCCATCTCCGAGTTCACTCCACAAATGCCGCCCACAAGGGCAGGGCCAGGCCAAAGCCAGGAACCCAGAACTCGATCCACAACTCCCACATGTGAAGCAGGGGACTCGGCTGTTTGGGACCATCACCTGCTGCCTCCCAGAGCTTGCACTAGCAGGAAGCTGGATTGGAAACTATGCCATGGCCGAACCCAGGCACTCTGCCATGGGATGTGGGGCAAGAGGCATCTTATCCTGTACCAAATGCCAGTACCACCATGGACCTCTTTAAGATCTGGTCAAAGAGATCTGCATCATGGCACAGTTAAAATTCCATCTGCAATACTGGGACAAGGCTAGGACAAGTCCTTCCACTGCAGCCTTCCCAGGGAAAGGAGCCCCCAGGCCCTCCTGGAGCAGCCCTGAGCTCCCTGAGGTCAAGGTTGCCACTTACCACACTGTCGCCTGTGTCAGGAACTGGCACCGTCTTCACCACCAAGTCCACCCCCGTTGTCTGCCAAGAACACCGGGAGGGCATGAGCAATGGGAGGGCACCCCGAAAGGTGTATGTGTGTGACAGGGAGAATGGTGGGCAGCCCATTTTCTGGGGCGAGGGGCTCCTCTCCAGCCCAGGAGTTTGTATTCAAGACCTACTTTGGGTATAGTGCAGAAGCTCCTGGTGAGGAAGCTGGGTACCTGATACCCACCTAGTGCACCTGGCAGCCTGTTTGGCAGGGCCCCTCACCCCACCCCACCCCACCCTGTGGTCAGGGAAAAACCACCTGCAGAGGCCCTGTGAGCAATTCCATGTGGGGCTTCTTGGGACGTTCTGTGGTGGCTCCCAATTCACTCTCGCCCCACTCCCAACCTTGGCTCTTCCCGCAGCCTCACCAGAGTGTAGTTCTTCTGGAAGTGGGCCCCATCGCTGCGGAAGATCTGGGCTAGGGCTGTCTTGCCCACAGTTGAGTCTCCTGGGAAGTCAGGGCAGAGGGTGACTGAGTCCTCATCAGACTTGAGACCCGCCCTCCCCAGGCCACGAGTCAGGCCTTTACGGACATCACCCTGGGTCTCACTTGGGCCCTGGAGCTGATGGTGCGGGCAGGACAATGGCTTGTTTTCAAAATCTGTGATGGGTGGCCAGCACTTGGTGCAGTGCCTAAGCGACTGCCCATCTCTTGGCCGGTCCTCTAGGCCCGTCCCTTCTGCTTCTGATCCAGCTTTCTGCCGATGTACACCCCAGCGGGCAGCAGGTGATGGCTGACTCATGAAGGAGACTGCGTTCCAGGCTCCTGGCCATGGCCATCCCCTCACTGTTGCGCTCTGCCTTCCAGCCACTTGTTCCCACTTGTATAATGTTCTCCCTGGAAGCCAAGCACCTGAAGGCTCATGGCATTTTGCTTTAATTCCCAAGGTGTTAGAGTCTTGCTTTGTCTCTGTCTCTGCAGGCAAGGGAAGCAGCAGGTCCCAGTTACACCCTCCCAGCCCTACCTCCCCACATAGTGGGTCTCTGCCATCCCTAATGGAGGGTCAGAGAAGTGGGGTACTCCCCCAGGCATTGGTAACCACAGGCCCTACTCACAGCAGTGGGGACCATCCTCTGGCATCATGCTCTGGGCAGAGCCAGCTTTCCTGCTGTACGCCTTGCCCGCAACCATCCTCCCGACTGTGTCTGCACCTGCGTCCTGCAGGAACAGGGGTTCCCTGCGTGTGAATGTCTCCGCCCATCTGCTCCAGTTTGTCCCTGACGTCTCTCTCCCGACTGCCAAGCACTGGTACCAGCTCCTGCACAACACCTCTGAGGAGGCACGGAACATGGGCGGGGGATACCACCGAGAAACACGGTGTTGGCAGCTGTGAGGAAGAAGCGGGCTGATCCCAGAGCGGGACCAGAGGGTCACGCCAGGGGGCTGCCCATGACCTGTAACCGCCAAGTCCAATGTCTGTTCTTTTTTTCTTTTTTTTTAAAGAGGAGAGACAGAGAGGAAGATCTTCCATCCGATGATTCACTCCCTAAGTGAGCGCATTGGCCAATGCTATGACGATCCAAAGCCAGGAGACTCTTCCAGGTCTCCCACGTGGGTGCAGGGTCCCAAAGCTTTGGGCTGTCCTCGACTGCTTTCCCGGGCCACAGGCAGGGAGCTGGAAGGGAAGCGGGGCTGCCGGGATTAGAACCGGCGCCCATATGGGATCCCGGGCATGCAAGGCAAGGACCTTAACCACTTGCACCACCGCGCCGGGCCCCCAATGTCTGTTCTTAAGTTCTCCTCCTTGACAGGCCCCTGCAGCCTGAATCCTGCTGGCCCTGAGGCTGGCCAGGCTTTCCTGGGCCTCCCACGTGTGGACACGCCCCTGAGTCTGTGCTCAGCCTTCTGCGGCCCTCACTTCTATGGTGACCTTGACCCTCATGGCCTTCCTCCCCAGCCTGATGTTGCTCAGTTAGCCCCCAGCATGCTACGGGGTCTCTGCCTGCCACTCTCACTTTCTGTGCATGACTCCACTCCACCCTGTGACCTCCCTGTTCCCAAACTCAACTGTCCCCTCCGGTGTCACACTTCCCTCTCTCACATCCTCTGCTGCATCTCAAACTCATGACTCCTAACACCACTGCCAGGCTCTCACCCCACACACGGCTGTCTCCGTCCCTAACCACGCCTCCCGATCCCTGCCATGCCTGATGGGCTCTGCCGAGGGCCGTGCTAGATGCTCATGGCAGTAGGATCCCCATCACCTTCATGGGAGACCTGGATGGCACAGCCTTGGCTAGTGCGGCCATCTGGGGAGTGAACCATATGATGGAAGATCTCTTGGTCTTTCCTCTAAATAAATACTTTTTTAAAAAGGAAGGGTGAAGGAGGAAAAGGGTAAAATTGAGATGCCAGGACAGGCCAGCCTGGGCTTGGAACAAAGCCCTGAGAGTAGATTCCCTGGGTCTGCGTCTGACGGCGGGGCTACTCCCCACTGTGTAATCCGGTGCTGGTGCCCTCACATCTCTGGGTCTCCTGCTCTGCAAATGAGGTGGACAGTCACGTGTCATAGGGCATAACCATGAGGCATCAGCGAGATGAGAATCGAGGGCCCAGCACCACCCTAGAAGTCAGGCTCCGCATCAGGAGGCAGATTTCCAAAGAAATGAGAAAAGCAGCAAGAAGCTCCATGGGCACAAGAACACTCCCAGCTCACCCATAAGGACATGAGTGCTTCCGGCCAGGCTTGGCCCTGAACAAAGGGATCAGTTATACAACACTGCCTCCCCTGGCACCCCAGAGAGCAGACTCCCCCAAGAACACGCCTCTCCAGCCCCAGTGTGAGCTGCCTTCCTGTTGCCAGCAGTTCTCTCTGGGCAAAACCCTTTCATCCTGAAACCAGGAAAAGTCACGGCCAAGATCATCATCTCTTTTGCTTCAGTCTGGCAGGGCGGAATAGAAAAGAATCTCTTTTTTTCTCCCTACAATTTCTTTTCTTTTCTTTTTTTTTTTTAATTGGAAGGCGGATATACAGAGAGGAGAGACAGAGAGGAAGATCTTCCGTCCGATGACTCACTCCCCAAGTGAGCACAATGGCCGATGCTATGCCGATCCAAAGCCAGGAGCCTCTTCCGGGTCTCCCATGTGGGTGCAGGGTCCCAAAGCCTTCTTCTGGGTCTCCCACGTGGGTGCAGGGTCCTAAAGCCTTGGGCCGTCCTCGACTGCTTTCCTGGGCCACAGGCTGGGAGCTGGAAGGGAAGCGGGGCTGCCGGGATAGAACCGGTGCCCATATGGGATCCCGGGCGTGCAAGGCGAGGACCTTAACCACTTGCGCCACTGCGCTGAGTCCTTCTTGCTGCTTCTTTCCGAGATGCCAGTGGGGAGGGAGCCTGGGACCACCGCAGCTTTGGCCCCAGTGCAGAATTAGGAGAGTGGAGGGTGGAGAGCAGGTGCCGTGGCACCAGCATCCCTTATGGGCACCTGTTCGAGTGCTGGCTGCTCCCTGCTTATGCATGGAAAAGCAGCAGAGGATGGTCCAAGTCCTTGAGACCTTGTACCCATGCGGGAGACCTGGAAGAAGCTCCTGGCTTTGGATCAGCTTAGCTGGGGCTGCTGTGGCCACTTGGGGAGTGAACCAGTGGATGGAAGACCTTTCTGTCTCTCCTCTCTGTAACTGTGGTTTTCAAATAAAAATAAATCTTAAAGAAAGATAAAAAAGGATTTTGGAGCTGGGCCTGTTGGGAGGAGGGGAGGGTTGTTATAGTCCAGGCACCTGTTCTTCCGAGCGTGCAGGTTCTGGGAGTCTTTAATGGTCAGTAGTCACGTGACTGGGATTGTTCTGGGTGACCCAGACTCATCCCCCATCTTTGTGTCCTGCAAGTGGGCTGTGCACTCCCTTTGAGCCTTCAGGCTCTGCACGTGGGTGGGTGGTACCTACCTGACCTGGAACTTCCCGCAAAGTGAAGACTTCGCAAAGGCCCCGCGAGCAGGGGAGTCCCAGGCAGCACCCTGGGCTTGTGAAGGCGCCTTCTGACTCCGACCCAGCCAGGTAGTGGGGACCACACCATGGGGTTATCAGCCACGGCGGGAAGTCGCCTTGGGGAGACAGGACACTCACCTGCCAGGATGCATTTGGCGGCCAGCTTCACCATGGTGACAGCCCCCGACCACCACCCCTGAGGGCCTCAGGGCCTCGGAGGGGCAGGCGGCTGCTGGAGTCGCTGGGGCCCTGGGTCGGCCTGGGAAGGAAAGATGGGCGAGCTGCCCTCCGTGAGAGCAGCGGGGATGGGGCGAGATGGGGCTGGGATCTCCTGGACGGATATCTGGAGCGCAGATCTCGGACCCTGGGGCTGGGGTGCGGGGTACAGGAGGGCTCCAGGTGGGGCCCAGCTCAAAGCTTCAGAAATGGCCTAAAAAGTGCGACCGAAGCGACTCAGCCCCTGGGCGTCCAAAGCAACGCGCCCAAAGCGTTGGCCCAGTTACCATCCGCTGCTCCTCGCTGAATCTCGATTGGCTGATAAGAACAGTCCCACCTCCGTCGGCTCTCAGAGACCCAGTGAGAGGAGGGGGCGGGACTGACACGCTCCTTTTGCGAGACAATTTGTAGCTGTATCTGCTCTTCAGTTCCTCCTGTTTGACGAATGGCTCTAAGTTTTGTCAATCATCTTCATCTCCTGCCCTCTCTCCTCCGGAGCTTCCCGGGGTGGAAAAACAACTCCAATCTCAAGTAGTCAGCGATAAAAGAAGCTTTCTGATTGGCTAAAGGCTGGCTCGGCCCATGTTCGAGAGGAATGGGGACTCGCGACACACCCCTGTTCTCCTGGAAGTGGGTTCGCCCTCAAAGGGGGGCCGGGCTCCTTCTGGAGCGGCGCCTGCGCAGTAGAAGCTAGAAGCTCCCTGAGCGCGCAGGGTTTGGGGGTGTCCTGTGCGGCTCCCAGGTTGTGGGGAGCACGGTTCCAGGAGCAACGCTGCATGCAGTCCTGACCCTGTACCCCCAGAAGAAACGTGACTTTTAAAACCCACACGTATTGAAACTCGGCACGTGAACGTGCCCTCGCGCCAACGGGGGAGACCCCGAAACTTTGTGGTGCGCGGGTGCATCCTGGGGCTGCAAGTGACCTCCCTCCTCTAGGTCCGGGTCTGTCCTGCCTGTGGCCTGGGAGCCCCGCAGGGACCCAGGCGGGTGGAGGACGCCTCAGCTCTTTGCCTGGGTGGGTGCCCCCTACCCAGCACCCCAGCACTCACAGCCCACCCCAAGTGCCCCGCCGCCCGGCGAGTGGTGTCTGTGTCTATCCCAACCCCGAATCCAGGGTAAGACAATGCAGGCGATCTGGAATTCTCTTCCCTCAGGGTTCCGTCTTGGTGTTGGTGGTTGGCATCCATCCCTCCTGGTCTTCGTGCAGTTTTCTCCTTCACCCAGGCGGGAGTGAGCAGAAAGCTCTGGTCTTCTGTCCTCTTATTTATGTATTTGCTTACTTAAAATCTCTTAGCTACTGGTTCGCCACCCAAGTGCCCGCCTGTAGGCAGAAGCTGGGAACCTGGAGTTCCATCCAGACCTCCTGTGTACAGGTGCAGGGACCCTGCTGTGTGGCCAGGAGGCTGCGTGCAGGAAGCTGGCCAGGAGCTCAAACACAGTGGGCTGCGGTGGCCAACACTAACGTTTTGACCCCCCTGCTTGCGGGTCAGCCTTCCTCCTGGCCACCGTTCTCTGTAGTGAACCCCTTCTTCCCTTAAAGGACCAAACAATGGCAAACCTGATGCCCAAGGTCGTGATGCTGCCAAGTGGCAGAGCTGGGAGTTTGAACAGTAGTCAACCCCAACCCCACTGGGGATCCAACCTTGCCCCCCGGGGAGTTCCCAGCCCTGCTGGCGGGAGTCTGGGTAGGTACAGCGCTCTCTGAGTTGCAGCCAAGGCTCCAGGAGATGGAAGCTGTGGCTTCTTTAAGTTCATAGTTGAGGAAGCTGAGGTGTAGAGGGGCTACAGCCTTGTCAGCTGGAACAGGAAGTCAACCCAGCTCTCCTTGTTTCCAGGGCTCCATATCCATTCCCAAAGTGAGTTCCGACCACGGGCCAGGCACTTTGCTGCTGCTGGGGTCACGGAGGGGAAGATGACAGGGTCCTGGTCCTCAGAGTTGGTGTGTCAGGGCCAGGTGGGCACGAGGGTGGAGAACCCAGGGTCACAGGCTTTCTAGGGGAGGAGGCAATCTATTTTTGCTTGTGTTGTAAGGGAACTAAAATGTAAGACATGGCAGCTGCTGCCCCAGACCTCTGCTAGCCAAGGGAGCTGTCTCCGCAGTACTACCTTTGGTCAGGAAAGGCTGGACATGCAAGCCTTCCAGGACGAGGGACTCCCTGCACCTGTGGGAGTGCTCCCAACCCTGCACGGGTGCACAGGGACAGGGCAGGAGATTCCAGCATGGGTGGGGATTTACAGAGTGGAAACAGGGAAACGACCCCGACGGGGTGGTGTTAGCTATTTAAAACACTTAAAGGTCTAGTTTTTACGTTATTATTATATTATTATGCGCAGCTAATTCCCGCAACCTGGTTCTTTACCATGAACCGAAAACACCAGACACAAAGAGGTATCTTAGGTTTATTCCAGCGGGGCGGGAACAGGACAGGATGGTGGGAAGGTGAGGAGGAAGGGGTGGCAGCCGGAAGGAGAAGAGAGAGAGAACAGCACCTGGGGGCCTTTTTGCCACTCAGGTGAGCCTGCAAGGTGTGTGTGTGGGGAGGGGGGATTGGGAGTGATTAAGGCCAGGCCCCAGGGGATTGGTGCCTGCAGGTGAATGCCTAGGAATGATTGGTGAGTGGGCGGAGCTGGGAAAGGGGCTGGAAGATTGGGGGTGGGATTCTCAGGTGAGGTGCTGGGTTTCATCTGATTGGTGGACGGCTGGACTGGCGCGAATTTCGTGAGCTGTGAGGAAGAGGAAATGGCACCGGGTCCAGCTTGGGATATTCGAAGAACTCCTTACAGGTGGGTGTCAAGTACAGACAGAGGCACACAGCGTATGGGATATTTGGAGAATGGCAGGTGCCACTCTTGGGAGCAAATGGGAATCTGATTAAGAGATGAGTCCTGCCAGGTAAGCTGTGAGGCAAACAGCCAAAGCTACGTTCATGGTCGAAGGGCAGCAGGATGGCCTGCTGTTAGTCCTGGGAAGAACTCACTCAATGAAGCGTTTTTAAATTTAAATGTCCTAAAGTTTTGTGGGTTGATTTGGGGAGAAAGGGAAGCACTCCAACGTGCTGGCTCATTCCCCAAATACCCACAATGGCTGCGGCTGGGCCAGGCTGAAGCCAGGAGTTGGAGACTCCGTCTGGATCTTCCACGTGGATGGCAAGAACCCAAGTATTTGAGGCATCGCTGCTGTCTGCCACGGTCTGCATTCATAGGCAGCTGGAACCCAGAGTTCAGCCAGGAGCCCCAAGAGCGAATGGGGGCGGAAGCCCAAAGCCCATCCCTCCTAGAGACTTTACCTGGCTCTGGGAAGCGGGGTTGGGGGGCAGGGGTGACAGATCTGGTGTGGATATGGTCCAGTGATGCTCCCTAAGGGGTGAGCAGGAGGGGTCTTGAGGCCCGAAGAGCAAATCCACTCCGCCGGGGATGGGGGTGGGGGCTGTTAGACATGCAAGTTCTCAGGCTCCAGGGCCAACTCACACAGTCTGTTTCCAGAACCTTCCTGCCTGCTCACGTTGAAGCACTGTGCCCCGGGTGGTGCCAGGGGTGCACCCTTGCCTACCACAGGAGGATGGAGAATGGGGTCCAGTCCTTTGCTCGCCGAGCCTGCAGGACAGTGGCTAGTGTGAGAGACTCTGAATATTTTGAGGGGAATGAATGAATGAATAGACTTCTCAGAGTTCACCCCTCTGGTCACTCACGCATTCGGCAAGCCCTCGACTCCTTGGGCCTGTATCTGGGAGAGGTGCAAAGGCTTTCAGCTGCAGACACGAGGAGGCAGATCCTGGCCCTGCTGCTCTGGAGGAGGGTGGGGGCAGGTCAGCACTGGTGCTTCCCAGGGGAATCTGGGTTTGTGGGAGAGTGGCAGGGAGTGGAACGGAAGGGCCGGCAGCTGCTGACAAGTAGTTCCCAAGGGCTGCTTGAACAGTGCCCCACAGCCCTGACGTGCAGCCTGCATTTGAGGCATGGTTCAGTATTCTGCGCTCGGCACTGGCGGGGCCCATGTCCCTGGGCCATCATCCCGTGACAGGCAGGAGGAGCATCCTGCACATGGGTCTCCTCAGAGCCCCATTTGTCACAGGGCAGCCTAGCAGGGTTTCTGAGGGACAACACAACCCAGCTGAAGGAATCAAAGTGTGTGTGTGTGTGTGGGGGGGCAAGAACCTGGCACTTCCAATAGGTTATTTTCCAGTTCTCTCCCCCCAGTTGCTTGAGATGCTTGCTGGCATCTCTTGCCACTGCTTAGCGTCTTGCTGTGACAACCAAAAATGTCCCCAGAAGGTCCTAAAGTCTTCCAGGCAGGGAAGACACCTGAGCTTTGAACCTGAGATGGCAAGACTGGGGACTCAGTTTGCCTGGGATGGGGGTTCCTCCTCTTCCCTGCCACCTCTAACGCACAGAAGGGGCGTGGGACGCGTCTGACAGATGGAAGACTCCAGCTCTGATCAACAGCCTTGGTACTGGCTGGTGTGTGTAGCAGGCAGCCATGGCGTCTGCCTCACATTTTCTTGTAAGGCGCCGCCGGGTGCACCGGGTGCACTGCCTTCTCGCGGTAATGACCTCTGCGGCTTGTCTTTCTGCTGTTCATGCGGGCCTGGTTGTTTACGTCTCTGCGACGCAGTGCTTGGCCGTGACCATCTCCATAAAGGACGGAGGAAATGGGACTGACGCACCCACGGTGTGCCTGGAATGCCAAGTGGAGGTTGAGTTCAGGGCTGCAGGCCTCGCAGGGCAGCCGCCATGCCCTTGTTCTGTCAGCAGGGGGCAGCAGCAACCAGCTAAAAGCAGCTAAGCCTGGGACCTTCTGATAGTGCGATTGCTTGGATATAAAGTTGTGCCGATTAACCCCTCCACAGCCACCCCAGGCCTCCTCGGACAGTCTGCGGTAACTCACCCGTGGAGGCCAAAAGTGGCTTTTCTAGAACGTTCTGTGTTTGGCGTGTTTCGACTATTTGCGGGGCTGATGGAAAGCTGTGAGGCTGGCTGTGGACATGGTGCTGGAGGTGCAGTGCCTGGATGGACATCCCAGAGCCGGGGGCCACTCAGTCAGTGAGGCTTGTGGTTTTGCCGTGCACCTGCTGGCATACCTCGCCAGTCCCTCTCCACACTCCGCGTGTAAAGTGTGCGTCTTGCTCCACTAAGGAGGGTACAGATCGTTGGGATGGCTCAGTTTGAATTAGGACTGGGTAGGGATGGGGGGGACGTATGCTGCTAGGGCAAAGTTCAGCCACGCCTCTTGCTGCCTCTTCTTCAGCCCCCAACTCACCTAATTCTCTGGAGGGAGTTGACACCAGGCTGGTGCCCTGGTCCAGCACCTTGCCTGTTGTCCAGCCCATACCCCTAACAGTAACACGGTTGGGGCCTCATTCTCCCTGAATTTTG